CTTCTCCATTTTTATATTTTAGAAAATTTATTATCCGAGTAAGCTACAACACGTGAAATTTGAGGTATGCGAAATATGGCTGTGCAGCTCATCTTGATCTGTCGGTTGTGAGCTTTTACTATATATCTACCAAAAAGTCTTAGGCTTCGTTTGGAACGACTTTCTTATTGCTTCTTAAGGCTTAATTTGGGATGGCTTTCTTACTGCTTCTTAAAGCAGTTTTTTAGTATAAATTTTTTAATTTTTATACTAGAAATGTGCTTTAAGAAGCAGTAAGAAAGCCGTCCCAACGAAGCCGAAAGCAATTTTTTTGTATAAAAATAAAGCTGATTTAGAAAGCAGTAAGAAAGTTGTTCCAAATAAAACCTTATGTTCGAAGTTTTGCGTATGTGAGTTTGTCTTAATTTGCTCAAAAGTCTCAAAAAAAATTTAGATGATATATTTGACTATTAATTACGGCCAAGAATTTTAATAAAATTTCATTTAAAACTACTGAGTTTTAATTAGAAGTCCTGCATTTCAAGTGAAAGTCTTGAATTTTGTTAAAAAAGTATACAAAATTTTTTGATTTTGCAAAAAATTAATGAAACAAATCAAAATTTAAAATAAAATTTATTCAAAATTAAATATAAATAAATAAAAAATTCATGATTGAGATTATCAAAATGAATATCGTATGTTGAAGAAAATTAAATCAATTGTGAGTTCTAAACTATGTTAAAAATTTTAAAACTTGATATCAAATTTTAATAATGAATATCTTCTATATTTAATTTATATTTTGAAATTTAAAATAGCAACAAAAAAAAATCAGATTAATTAATTATAGAGTTGAAAGGCTGTGTTCTTAGGCTTGAAAGATGAATAACCTATGCTATTACCAGTTAAATAAAAGAGGGGCAGTAGCATATAGACTATTTTTTTCAATTTTCTTGAGAAAGAACTGAAGGGAATCATTATGAGTTATAATAATAAAAAAAAAAATACTAGTTGGAAGCACGACTTAAGCTCCCAACCAACAGATCAAATTTGACTGCATATATTTAAAAAAAATGAAAAAAAAAAAACAATCAAAATGAATGGCTATCAGACAATGTGATCTCTATTATTGATTATGATGTTAAGTATAATGTAAAATCATTTGATCTAATTATTACAAGTGGGACAAAATCTACTCATAGGCTAGCCTAATATGATCCCAATTTGAGTGGTTGTTAGTTTTGTTTTGATTTTGACAGACTTTTAAACTTTCAAGACTTTCTTGCATGATGGATACCTTTAGTAGATTCAGCTTATTGGAGACAACTTGTAAATTCAGCTTATTTAGTAGGAACTAAATGAAAGGGAGCTTTAGTTTTTGCAACACATCTTCATATAATTGAAAAAGGAATTTCAATTATATATATATTTTAAACAAAATATGATTTTATTCCATCAATGAAAAGGATACAAGCAGCTTAACCAAGAAAAAAAGAAGAAAATTACACAGTCAAAAACAGAAATGACAAGATTGCCAAGCGGGCTTAGAAAATTGCTAAGTTTTTTGAACCAAATAAAACAAACTCATATACACATCACAAGCTTGAAAATTACCTTCATCTAGGCATTTTTAAACAAAATAAAAATAGAGCCATTGAATCATAAAGATATTGACATTATATATTAGAATAGTAATGAACCAAAGAAATCGAATCCATTTAACAATTAAACCAGCCCAAAATTGCATGCAAGAAATTCCCTTGCTACCCCACATCCTTACATGAACCACTCAATTGTTGCAAGACATGATCTCTAACCTATGATTTTGATGATAATAACTATTATTGATTGAAATTTTATTTCTTCTAGCATAAATATTGGATATTTTGTCTGTATGTACTAGCATTCAAGTACATGATATACCGCTCAAGATTGATTAAGACTTAAGTTTGGGTGGAATAGGATGTTTTTCAAAAGAGTCTATATTTTTTATTTTTCTTAATTTTGTATTTCTTGAGTCTGACTATGTAAAGGTGTATGCTAAATTGTCGATTGTGCACACACTCAAAGGAGAGTGAGAAAAGAGAGCTGAAAAATTTTGAACTAATTGTAATGTACGATTACGATCGTACTGTAAGATCAGTTATACGAAAAAAGATGGTTAACGACTAATTTTGTAATTAATACAAATGAACTGATCATACTTTACGATGAAGATTGTATTGTAAGATTTGTTTCCATCAAGAAACCCTAACCGCTAGATAATTTAAGTAATTATATTTAAAATCAAATTTTGAACTAATCGTGGTGTACTATCCTAGTCGTATTATACGATATTTGAAAACTTACTTAAATTAGTCCCTGTGATTAGTTAATTAAATTAAAGTTTAGTAAATATGGCTAATCATACTGTAAGATAAAGATTGCAACGTACAATTGACAGCGACAAAATTCGGTTGTCTTGTAGATTGTACTAAATGAAAACCTTGATTTTTAAACTAATTGTATAATATGATATCGATCTTACTATATGAACCATTGTATTTGAACTCAACGTGTTGTACGACATCAATCGTATTAAATGATCGATAGAGACGATTTTCAATCGTCCAAGTAATCATCTTGTACAAACAGAGTGAAATTGAATGAATCATATCGTACAAACTTACTATCGTATTGTATGATAAGTATGCATAATTTGAATAGTTCGTATGACTGGCTGTTCTATCGTACTGGACGAACCCCTTGTTTTGAATTAATCTTACTGTACAAACCAAGATCGTGCTGCACGAACATCGACGACCTAATTGAAAATTTTTAGGATTTTGTGAAGTCTTGTACTTAAGCAATTCAATGAAGTCATTAGTAAAAATTTTGATTGTTGAAGGAATTCTGAGGGAGAATTCTTGATAGAGCTTTGGGCATAGAGAGCTATAATGTGAGGTTGTGCTTGAGAGAGGAGTGTGATGGGTGTATTGAATAGGAACTCCACAGTCAACCCAACCTCAAACAACACTGCCAAAAACTCGAAAAGCACCACAACCAACAGCCAAGCCTTCCAACCAAAAGGATTGTATTGTATAGGAACTCCAAGTTGGATCATTTAGGTTTGGTTTTGAGTGTTGCAATTAAAGGTAGATAGCTTCTATTTATTAGAAGCTGACAGCAATCATTTTCATTAAGGCATTAGCATTGATAATTTTAGTAAGTTCTTAAATATTTAGTAATTTCTCAGTCTTACATTTCACACTTAGATATTAGTAGATATTTCCTAATGTTTTTAATAAAATATCATGTGAGGTAGATAGTTTTATCATGTTTATTTGCTACATAAACTTTTTAATGATTCGATATGTTAGCAAAAATTGATCCCATGCACATTGTCTTAGTTGAAGCAATAAAATCTTGAGAGGGATTCACATATATACCACATAATTCTTGTATATTTATATATCTAAAATCTAAATTTTTATATTTATTTATATAATATCCAAATCTTTAAATCATTTCAAAAATACCACTATTATCAATTTTTTTATTATGAAATATTTTCAAGCTTACACTTTGATATGATTGAGACACTGAAGTACTTAAAATATTAAAATTTAGATATTAAGAATATAAATACACAAGAATTATATGATATTTTTACAAATCACCCTAAATCTTGTTTCTACATATTATATTTTATTAGTTAGCTAGTATTTGTCAAATTTATTATAAAATATTTGTAAAACATTTACTAATGACATGTATAAAATGTATGATTAATTGCAATGGATGTATAAGTCAAATTTAATCGGGCTAACAGGTCCATAAAATGACAACTCTTTTAAGAATCATGAAATTTTCATGATTTATTATATACCCTTTTAGTTTATTATATTTTAATAAGCTTACTATAAATATATACGTATATATTTCTTTCTAT